GCAGGGCCGTGGAGGAGAGGCGATCTCTTCGCGCTGGCCCACCAAGCATTGGCTGTGTGGCGCTCTCTCACCGCACTCGTCTATCGGTAGGCCGCCATCGTGGTGACTCAGCCGCGGCGGGTCGCTGCGGTCGGACTCGCGTGCCGCGTCGCCGCTGAGAGAGGCGAGCCCGTCGGGCTGACTTGCGGCTACGCGGTGCGGGGCGAGGTCAAGGCCGGCCCGCACACCCGCATCCTCTACTGCACAGTCGGCTGGCTGCTGAGGCAGCATCCCGATGCCACGTTTGACGCCCGCCCGAGACAGAGAGACGCAACCCAGGTATGGACACGCGCAGGCAGCTCGAGGGCGTGCTCTCCCGGCGCGGCGAGGGGTGGGCCCGCCTCAGCCGCCTCTCGCACGTCATCGTCGACGAGGCGCACTACTTCTTAGCACTAGTTCTTAGGTCCCTCCTCTTCCAACCCCCCACCCGAGATCACTCGAGATCGCCCGAGATCAGGCGCACGAGCGGTCTCTGCTCTCCGACTTCCTGCTCGCCGCCTTGCGCTCCGCTCTACTCGAGGAGGAGGGGATGGAGGAGGGGGAGGACGGCGGCGGGGAGTGTGTTCGCAGCCTCCCCAAGCTGGTCGCTATGTCGGCGACCATCGACGCCGCTAGCTTCGCCGCCTACCTCGCCGACGGCGAGGGCGACGCTCCCGTGGTCCGTGTGCCGGGTCGGCTCTTTCCCGTGCGCTGCTTGCATCTCGAGGAGGTGGCTGCCCCGGCTCTCGATGAGCCCACTTGCATGCAGTATCTCACTCCTCTCCTCTCCCCTCTGCCACCCAGGTGCTCGCCGAGACGCGGTTCGGTCGCGGCGCGGCGAGAAGCGGGCGCGACGGCATGCCGGCCGAGGTGGACTGGGCGCTGCTCACGCATTTGGTGGAGCACATCGCGACGGCGGGCGAGCCCGGAGCCATCCTCGTCTTCCTCTCGGGCGCGCGCGAGATCGAGCGCTGCTGCTCGGCGCTGCGATCCCGCCCGTCCTTGCGCGGCGCGTGGGTCCGTCCGTTGCACGGCTCGCTCTCTCCCGCGGAGCAGCGGCGCGCGTTCGAGGTGCCTCCGCCTCCGACGCGCAAGGTGGTGGTGAGCACTAATGTCGCCGAGACCTCCGTCACCATCGGCGACGTGGTGCACGTCGTCGATTGCGGCCTCGCAAAGGCGACCTCTCGCCACAGCACGCCCCTAACTCGCCTCATTCCTCAGCCGGTTCGCCCGCCCCGCGGCACTAGGTGACGCGCTACAGCGAGGCGACCCGCATCGGCTCGCTTCGCGACGAGCCCATCTCGCTCGCGAGCGCCGAGCAGCGACGCGGCCGCGCCGGCCGCGTCGCTCCCGGCCATTGCTACAGGCTGTGGGCGGTATCGGCGCCGCTCTCGCCGGAGCAGCCGCCGGAGATGCTCCGAACGCCGTGCGACGAGGTGCTGCTCGCCGCGTGCGTGCTCACCTTCTATCCGTAAAATCTACGAGATACAATGGGTTCCCAATGCGCTCGCTCCCTTCGCCCCGCCAGCCGGGCTGCCCGGGCGGCCGCGCGCGCTCAGGCGCCAGCGCATTGCTCTGTCGGTGCTCAACGGCACCAGCACATGAGGATCTCCTGGAGCGGCGCAGAGCAGGAGGCGCAGCAGCCCCCACTCGGACGTGCGGTCGGGAGAAAGGAACCGGAACCGGTGCATGTAGAGGGCCGAGAGAGGCGGACGCGCTCGACGGCCCACCGACGCCCCCACCCCCGCGGAGCATGGCAATCGACAGGCCCGGCGCGGCTCCGACTCGCCCCACCGCAGCGCCGAGGAGAGGCTGCTTGCTGCTCAAGTACCTATAGCTGCGGCTGGGCTCGAGCGTCTCCAGTCCATCTCGCCCAAGCGAACACGCAGTTGACCGCCCCCCCCCACTCCCCCCCGCCCCGCCCCGCCCCCCTGGAGAGCGTGGCCGTTGACAAGCCCGGTCGATCGGCCCCATTCCAGCAGCGCCCAGGAGAGGCTGCTTGCTGCTCGGGTAGTCGCAGACACCTCGCGCGGCTCCAGCCCTCTCTCGCGCAGGTCGCGCTGCGGTTCCTGCCGCGCTCTCCGAGCTCGATGGGGGTGAGTCGTCATGCCGACCCGTGGCGCCGCGCTGCCACGGGGAGCTTTCGAAGCGCGGCGCGCCATGGCCCCCGCGCGTGCACTCTTGATGCCCGCCCCGTGTGGAAGTTAGAGGTGCCGCCACTCACGCGCGAGCGGTGCGTTGTTGAGACTCAGTCGTGACTAAGTGGTCTTGCATGCCGCACCAACCACTTTGTTTTGCATTTAAAAGACGTTGTCCAGCAGTAATAATGTCTCAAAGGTCTCAGGCCGCTCCGCATGAGAAGCCAGGGCGGCGCTCCCCCCACTCATCTGTTGGCGCCCTCGGGTAAAGTCCAGTGTGCACCCGAAGCTGGTGCAGCGCAGGTTGGCCTAGCGTGCAGCGGAGGGGGCGACCGACCATTCGATAGGTGAGGCGCCGTTCCAACAATAGGAGGGTGCCATTTCCGTGGCGCGTCTATTTGCGGTTACATCGCGCGACGGCGGGCAACCCTCCCCGCACCCCCTTCCACTCCCTGAACTGTACACCTGCCATGTGAATGCGTTTTGGGCGTTTTGACGGTGCCTCACATGGCGTGTGGGCGCTAAAATACCTTTTCTGAAACCTATCTGTGAACACACCGCTTTTCGTTCGGGGGCCCGCGCGGGCGGCGCACACCCATGACGTATGCCGTATCACAATCAACATGTTCCTCCTCCCAGCTCTCGATTTCCTCCACTCCGTTCTCCGTCATGTCTCATGGTTACTTTAAGTAATTAGATATTATTTAATATTTCTCTAGTTTCTTTTTTGCCACATTCGTTCTGTACCGAGACTTACAGTGTACGTTGACGCGAACCCTCCGCCCAACAGTCTGTGTGTCGCGGAGTCCGGACCCTGCGCTCCACACACACACGACCGCTGCAACACACTCGCTCTAACCCGTATCTGCCTATGTGTGCGCTGTCTCTCATCGCCGCGGCCCTATCCAGATATCCCCCATCTCGTGCTGCGAAAGCAACAAACGGGCCCACAACATCTCAACCACACACCCGTCGGCGACACACACCGTCGTCCGTCAGCAGCCCTGCCCCACCACCCGCATCACGGCGCCGCGCCTCCCCGCGACGCGTTGGCGGCGCCGGATTCGGCCCACGCGTCGCCTCACTCGCCGCGGCCGCCCAATCGCAGCAGCTTGCGCAGCCTGTCTCGCCGGCGCGGCGCGTTGGCCGGCGCGCGAGGGAGCGCGTGCTCTCGGATCGCCTTCGCGACGCCGTCCTCCGCGTTTGAGGCGGTGACGTAGGCGACGTGCCTCTTGAGCGGCTCCATCGCGTTGCCCATCGCCACCGGCAGCCCGACCATCCGCATCATCTCGATGTCGTTCTCGCCGTCGCCCACCGCCATCACGCGGCGCGGATTGATCTGCAGGTGCTCCAGCAGCCGCCGCAGCCCCTCCGCCTTCGAGGTCCGCGCGGGCAGCACCTCGAGCGTCCAATCGAGCGCCTGTGTCACGGGACATGTCAGGGAAGTGTCGTGGACATGTCCAGGACAGCACCTCGAGCGTCCAGTCGAGCGCCTGTGTCACGGGACATGTCAGGGAAGTGTCGTGGACATGTCCAGGACAGCACCTCGAGCGTCCAGTCGAGCGCCTGTGTCACGGGACATGTCAGGGAAGTGTCGTGGACATGTCCAGGACAGCACCTCGAGCGTCCAGTCGAGCGCCTGTGTCACGGGACATGTCAGGGAAGTGTCGTGGACATGTCCAGGACAGCACCTCGAGCGTCCAGTCGAGCGCCTGTGTCACGGGACATGTCAGGGAAGTGTCGTGGACATGTCCAGGACAGCACCTCGAGCGTCCAGTCGAGCGCCTGTGTCACTCGTCGAGCTTTTGTGAAGAGGCGCCTTCACGGCACCTCGACCAAAGTACCACAGCCGACCGCCTTGACGACTCGCGCCGGCTCTCCCTCGAGCGCCGCCTCGAGGGCGGTGCGCAGCGCGGGCACGCTCTCCTCGTCGGAGAGGACGAGCACCTTGTTCGCGCTGCCCGCCTCCTCCCCCAGCACGCCCAGCAGGTCGGTCGACTCGATGGCGAAGGCCTCGGCGGGGGCAGCGCCGCGCGCCTCGCGGCTCGAGGTGTCACGTCTCAGCAGATGGCAGACTATCGCGGTGTTTGTTGAACATCGCGGCTCGAGCGGGAATACATTCACGGAAGCTGATCCTACATCGCTGTGCTGCATCTCGCCGCGCGCCTCGCGGCTCGAGGCGACGTCCGCCGCGGGCTCGCCGCCCGCGAGCTCGATATCACCGTCGCCGTAGCTCGCGTACCTGGCGGGTCGGCGTCCGGGCCAGGTGCGGGCGAGGGCGGGGACGGGCGGCATCGCTGCAGCGGGAGGCTTTTTGGCGCCTCATCAGCCACGGGTCGCACTCATCGCCACAGGCGACAAGCAGCCGCTCCTGCACGTAGGCCGCTAGCGTGACGCCGTTCCCCTTCTCCGCGCTCTCGCACGCGCGCTGCACTGCGGCCACGGCGGAAGCGGCCAGCTTGTCCTCGTGCACTCGCTGGTTGAGTGCGTCAAAGGACGTCAGTCCCTGTGTAAACACGCCGGGACAGTCGAGCGAGAGCGGCACGAGGCACTCCTCCACCCACGGGCCGGAGCGAGCGCGGCCGGTTGCGAGAAAGACCTGCAGCCCTGCTCGCCTCGCCGCAAGCACCGCCTCTGCGTTGGCCGGTGAGACCTTGTGCTGTGGGTCGAGGAAGGAGCCGTCGGCGTCGAGAACGACAGCCTCGAGGCGTCGCGGGAGCAGGCGCGGCAAGAGGGCGTGGGAGGAGGAGCAGTGGAGGACGAGGACGAGGAGGAGGAGCGAGCGTGGCCTCGAGTGCCTCGATGGTGGTGACAGAGAGTGGCCCGGGCCCACCATCGGTCCACGATCGCTCAACAAGCGTAAAAGGCACACCCTCCTGTGAGAAAGAAAAACTCGGGTCTCCGCCTCTGCAGTCCAAGTAGAACTCAACCAAGTGGGCACCACAACGCACTCATTACTCCCCCGGCCCTTGGCATGTTCCACTACTTTCAAGTAAAAAACAGAGTCCTCCTACGGGAATGTACGTAAGAGCCACATACACTGAAAAAGGAAACAAGCACTGCCAGTCCGAGTAGATCCGCCGATCTGCTGTTCTTCATTCAGTGGTGTACAGTGCCGTCGGGCGACTCCAACCGCACGACCCGCTCCGCGCCTCGCTCGCCCTCGTAGTGCTGCACCATGCCGTCGGCAAGCACCACGCGCACAACCCGCTCCGCACCTGGCTCGCCCTCGTAGTAACGCACAATGCCGTTGGCAGACTCCGCGCGCACCGTCCGCTCCACACCTTGCTCGCCCTCGAAGTGCTCCACGGCGCCATCGGCACGCACCGCGCGCACCGCCCGCTCCGCGCCTTTCTCGCCCTCGTAGTACTGCACGATGCCGTCGGCAAACTCCCTGCGCACGCCCCGCTCGGCACCTCGCTCGCCCTCGTAGTAATACACCTGGCCGTTGGGGAGCTGCAAGCGCACCTTCCGCTCCGCGCCTCGCTCGCCCTCGTAGTACTGCACGATGCCGCTGGCAGTCTCCATGCGCACCGTCCGCTCCGCACCTCGCTCGCCCTCGAAGTGCTCCACGGCGCCATCGGCACGCACCGCGCGCACCGCCCGCTCCGCGCCTTTCTCGCCCTCGAAGTGCTGCACCTTGCCGTCGGGAAACTCCACGCGCGCCATCCGCTCGGCACCTCGCTCGCCCTCGAAGTGATGCACTTCGCCGTGAGCAAACTCCGCGCGCACCATCCGCTCCGCGCCTCGCCCGCCCTCGAAGTGCCGCACCAGGCCGCTCCTCAAACGCACCCGCAGCTCAGCGCCCCTCTCTTCGCCGCGTCGCAGCGCCCACGTCTCGGCGCGTTGCTCGTCAGCGCCTTCTACTGCCGACAGGCAGAGCGCCGGGCTCACCCTCGCAAGCCACGGGAAGTGGTCGGCGGTGGCGCGGCGGTCGGCGGCGTAGGCGCGAAGGGTGGCCTCGCAAAGCGTCGGCCGTATGATGGACGACCCGACGAACGATCCGGCAATCAAACGCTCGATGAGAAGCAGCCGCATCGCCACGGCGAAGAGAGGGTCCTTGAAGCGCGCCAGGCCGCTGCGAAGCGCGAGGAGGCCGAGGCGCGGCGACGCGAGGCTGAAGGCGGCGCAGTCGGAGAAGTCGTCGCGACGCCCTCGAGGATGCGGAGGTGCAGCTCCGGCGGCAGCTCGGCCAGCCAGTCCGTGGGTGGGTCGTCGTCGTCATCGGTGCGTGCCGGAGTCGGAGGAACCATGGAAGATCAGCGTAGCTACAGCAAGCGCCGTGCCCGCATTAGAGGAAGAAATGGTAGGACGGCGACCGCCTCCACTGTGAACCACTTTTGATGCCTAATCTCAAAGTATAGCCAGGGGGGATACCCGTAGCCCCCAAAGTGAACTGCCTGATCGACTCCCCGGCACACGGCGGAGGAGGAGGAAGACAGCACAACCCAGGGCGGGAAGAGCACAATGCTCAGGGTGGGACAAAACACCGACAGACGAGAGAAGAGGCCACAAAACAGACAAGCAGAATGGCAAGAGAGAGACGCTCTGCAGGCGAGCCCACGGGCCTCTTGGGCCCTCGCGTCTCTCTCTCTCGATTCGTTACACCGATTCGACCATCAATCCGGCGGGCCGATTTCGACCCATCACAAATGTGGGAAGCCATTAACCTCCCTTGGCTTCCCACACAAACCCCCCTTCATGGGGGGAGCAGCAAATGAGGTAGTCTCTGCGAAATCACTGTCCCAGTGAATTCGCCCTAGACGCCTCCGTGTGGACTCGCAGCTCCGGCTGGATGTCGGCGACCTAAAGCTCGGCGGTCGTCGCTTCGCGCCGGCCGACTCCCTGTAGGACGGCGACCGCCTCCACTGTGAACCACTTTTGATGCCTAATCTCAAAGTATAGCCAGGGGGGATACCCGTAGCCCCCAAAGTGAACTGCCTGATCGACTCCCCGGCACACGGCGGAGGAGGAGGAAGACAGCACAACCCCATCGCCAATCCTGTCGAGGTCGATCCACCGTCTCGCGCGTGAATCGGCCGCGACCTCCACCTCGAGGCGAGGGCCCACCCTTGTGTCGAGTGCCCCTCCAATAGCTCAGTAGAAGCGCGAAGTGTTCTACGGCCGCGACCATCACCATCGCAGGTCCTTGCACTGCGACTGCGCCACCGGCCAAGCTCCAGTGCGGTTGACCCCCATCCAGGAACTGCCCGACGATAGGGCTGTCGCCTCATCCATGCCGCTGACCGCGCCCAGCAGCGGGTGCTCGCCGCTGTCCACGGACGCGGCTCGTCAGGCGGCGCGGTGCCGCCGGCTGCGGCTGTCCCGGCCGTCGCGTCCTCGAGAGAGGCGAGCGAGCCGGCAGCAGAGCCCGTATGGCCCTCACCGCCACAGCCGCTCTGCCTGCTGACCTCGCTCTCGCCGCCGCCGCCTGCAGCGGCGCCTCCGCGGCTCCGAGAGGACCCGGCCCGCGGCCGCGCCTCGTCGAGCGCCTCGTCGACGCCCTCGGCGACGCCTCCTCGCGTCGCGTGCCCATGCGTGGCGGCCGCACCGCCGGCAGAGCTCGAGTGGCCCTCCACGCCACCCCGAAACTGCCCGGCGATGGTGCCTCCGCCGCCGCGCGTTGCCGCCGCTGCCTCGCAGCGGCTCTGTGCCTCGGCGCCGAGCCGAGACATGCCAGGCGGCCCGCCGCCGCCCACCGAGACGAGGCCCGCCCCCTCGTCGTGCAGCGCGTCGCTCGCGCCTCCGCCAAAGCGATCTCGATCACGCCTTGCGGCGACGGCGCCATCGACGCCGACTTGAGCCGCTGCTCTCGCCCAGCAGCGGGTGCTCGCCGCTGTCCACGGACGCGGCTTGTCAGGCGGCGCGGTGCCGCCGGCTGCAGCGACGGCTGTCCCGGCCGTCGCGTCCTCGAGAGAGGCGAGCGAGCCGGCAGCAGAGCCCGCATGGCCCTCACCGCCACAGCCGCTCTGCTTGCTGACCTCGCTCTCGCCGCCGCCGCCTGCAGCGGCGCCTCCGCGGCATCGAGAGGACATGGTCCGAGGCCGCGCCTCGCCTAGCGCCTCGTCGACGCCCTCGGCGACGCCTCCTCGCGTCGCGTGCCCGTTCGTGGCGACCGCACCGCCGGCAGAGCTCGAGTGGCCCTCCACGCCACCCCGAGACTGCCCGGCGATGGTGCCTCCGTCGCCGCGCGTTGCCGCCGCTGCCTCGCAGCGGCTCTGTGCCTCGGCGCCGAGCCGAGACATGCCAGGCGGCCCGCCGCCGCCCACCGAGACGAGGCCCGCCCCCTCGTCGTGCACCGCGTCGCTCGCGCCTCCGCCAAAGCGATCTCGATCACGCTTTGCGGCGACGGCGCCATCGACGCCGACTTGCGCCGCTGCTCTCGCCCAGCAGCGGGTGCTCGCCGCTGTCCACGGACGCGGCTCGTCAGGCGGCGCGGTGCCGCCGGCTGCAGCGACGGCTGTCCCGGCCGTCGCGTCCTCGAGAGAGGCGAGCGAGCCGGCAGCAGAGCCCGCATGGCCCTCACCGCCACAGCCGCTCTGCCTGCTGACCTCGCTCTCGCCGCCGCCGCCTGCAGCGGCGCCTCCGCGGCTCCGAGAGGACCCGGCCCGCTGCCGTGCCTCGTCGAGCGCCTCGTCGACGCCCTCGGCGACGCCTCCTCGCGTCGCGTGCCCGTGCGTGGCGACCGCACCGCCGGCAGAGCTCGAGTGGCCCTCCACGCCACCCCGAGACTGCCCGGCGATGGTGCCTCCGCCGCCGCGCGTTGCCGCCGCTGCCTCGCAGCGGCTCTGTGCCTCGGCGCCGAGCCGAGACCTGCCAGGCGGCCCGCCGCCGCCCACCGAGACGAGGCCCGCCCTCTCGTCGTGCACCGCGTCGCTCGCGCCTCCGCCAAAGCGATCTCGATCACGCTTTGCGGCGACGGCGCCATCGACGCCGACTTGAGCCGCTGCCCTCGCCCAGCAGCGGGTGCTCGCCGCTGTCCACGGACGCGGCTCGTCAGGCGGCGCGGTGCCGCCGGCTGCAGCGACGGCTGTCCCGGCCGTCGCGTCCTCGAGAGAGGCGAGCGAGCCGGCAGCAGAGTCCGCATGGCCCTCACCGCCACAGCCGCTCTGCCTGCTGACCTCGCTCTCGCCGCCGCCGTCTGCAGCGGCGCCTCCGCGGCTCCGAGAGGACACGGCCCGCGGCCGCGCCTCGTCGAGCGCCTCGTCGACGCCCTCGGCGACGCCTCCTCGCGTCGCGTGCCCGTGCGTGGCGACCGCACCGCCGGCAGAGCTCGAGTGGCCCTCCACGCCACCCCGAGACTGCCCGGCGATGGTGCCTCCGTCGCCGCGCGTTGCCGCCGCTGCCTCGCAGCGGCTCTGTGCCTCGGCGCCGAGCCGAGACATGCCAGGCGGCCCGCCGCCGCCCACCGAGACGAGGCCCGCCCTCTCGTCGTGCACCGCGTCGCTCGCGCCTCCGCCAAAGCGATCTCGATCACGCTTTGCGGCGACGGCGCCATCGACGCCGACTTGAGCCGCTGCTCTCGCCCAGCAGCGGGTGCTCGCCGCTGTCCACGGACGCGGCTCGTCAGGCGGCGCGGTGCCGCCGGCTGCAGCGACGGCTGTCCCGGCCGTCGCATCCTCGAGAGAGGCGAGCGAGCCGGCAGCAGAGCCCGTATGGCCCTCACCGCCACAGCCGCTCTGCCTGCTGACCTCGCTCTCGCCGCCGCCGCCTGCAGCGGCGCCTCCGCGGCTCCGAGAGGACACTGCCCGCGGCCGCGCCTCGCCTAGCGCCTCGGCGACGCCCTCGGCGACGCCTCCTCGCGTCGCGTGCCCGTTCGTGGCGACCGCACCGCCGGCAGAGCTCGAGCGGCCCTCCACGCCACCCCGAGACTGCCCGTCGATGGTGCTTTCGTCGCCGCGCGTTGCCGCCGCTGCCTCGCAGCGGCTCTGTGCCTCGGCGCCGAGCCGAGACATGCCAGGCGGCCCGCCACCGCCCACCGAGACGAGGCCCGCCCCCTCGTCGTGCACCGCGTCGCTCGCGCCTCCGCCAAAGCGATCTCGATCACGCCTTGCGGCGACGGCGCCATCGACGCCAACTTGAGCCGCTGCTCTCGCCCAGCAGCGGGTGCTCGCCGCTGTCCACGGACGCGGCTCGTCAGGCGGCGCGGTGCCGCCGGCTGCAGCGACGGCTGTCCCGGCCGTCGCGTCCTCGAGAGAGGCGAGCGAGCCGGCAGCAGAGCCCGCATGGCCCTCACCGCCACAGCCGCTCTGCCTGCTGACCTCGCTCTCGCCGCCGCCGCCTGCAGCGGCGCCTCCGCGGCTCCGAGAGGACCCGGCCCGCGGCCGCGCCTCGTCGAGCGCCTCGTCGACGCCCTCGGCGACGCCTCCTCGCGTCGCGTGCCCGTGCGTGGCGACCGCACCGCCGGCAGAGCTCGAGTGGCCCTCCACGCCACCCCGAGACTGCCCGGCGATGGTGCCTCCGCCGCCGCGCGTTGCCGCCGCTGCCTCGCAGCGGCTCTGTGCCTCGGCGCCGAGCCGAGACATGCCAGGCGGCCCGCCACCGCCCACCGAGACGAGGCCCGTCCCCTCGTCGTGCACCGCGTCGCTCGCGCCTCCGCCAAAGCGATCTCGATCACGCTTTGCGGCGACGGCGCCATCGACGCCGACTTGAGCCGCTGCTCTCGCCCAGCAGCGGGTGCTCGCCGCTGTCCACGGACGCGGCTCGTCAGGCGGCGCGGTGCCGCCGGCTGCAGCGACGGCTGTCCCGGCCGTCGCGTCCTCGAGAGAGGCGAGCGAGCCGGCAGCAGAGCCCGCATGGCCCTCACCGCCACAGCCGCTCTGCCTGCTGACCTCGCTCTCGCCGCCGCCGCCTGCAGCGGCGCCTCCGCGGCTCCGAGAGGACCCGGCCCGCTGCCGTGCCTCGTCGAGCGCCTCGTCGACGCCCTCGGCGACGCCTCCTCGCGTCGCGTGCCCGTGCGTGGCGACCGCACCGCCGGCAGAGCTCGAGTGGCCCTCCACGCCACCCCGAGACTGCCCGGCGATGGTGCCTCCGCCGCCGCGCGTTGCCGCCGCTGCCTCGCAGCGGCTCTGTGCCTCGGCGCCGAGCCGAGACATGCCAGGCGGCCCGCCGCCGCCCACCGAGACGAGGCCCGCCCCCTCGTCGTGCACCGCGTCGCTCGCGCCTCCGCCAAAGCGATCTCGATCACGCTTTGCGGCGACGGCGCCATCGACGCCGACTTGAGCCGCTGCCCTCGCCCAGCAGCGGGTGCTCGCCGCTGTCCACGGACGCGGCT